AACCTTCTGAGGCGGGCCGCTTTCACTTAATAGAATGCTTTTGAGATTCTTCTGTGTTGTGGTGTGTGTCAGTAGCTAGTTCCTTTATATTGCTGAGTCATATTCCATTGTATGGAGGTACCACAATTTGTTTATCATTTACATTTTAGTTTCTGGGATTGGGCAATTCCCAATAGAGCTGCTATAATCATTCACACATGGGTTTTTGCATGGACATGTGCCTTCATTTCTCTGGGATAAATATCTAGGAGTAGGATTGATGGGTCATATGGTAACTGGATGCCAAAAACTGTTTTCTACTGTGGTTGCGCCATTTTGCATTCTCACCGGCAATGTATAAGAATTTCCATTGCTCTATGTACTTATCAGCATTTGGTATTGTCACATTTTTCATTTGAGCCATTGTAATAGGTATACTGTGGTTTTAATTTTCATGTCCCTAATGACTAAGGATACCAAGCATCTTTTCATGTGATTATTTGTCATCTATATATCTTCTCAGTGAAGGTGCTTGTTCAGATCTTTTGCCCACTTTTTAGTTGGGTTGTTTATTTTCTTACTGAGTTTTGAGAGTTCTTTATATAATCTGGTTAACAATCATGTATCAGATAGGTGTTTTGCAAATATTTTCTTGCAGTTTGTGTCTCATTTTCATTTTTTAAAAAAATAATTTATTTTTGGCTCCGTTGGGTCTTCGTTGCTGCACGCGGCGAGTGGGGGCAACTCTTCGTTGCGGTGCGTGGGCGTCTCATTGCGGTGGCTTCTCTTGTTGCGGAGCACGGGCTCTAGAGCACAGGCTCAGTAGTTGTGGCTCGTGGGCTCTAGAGCGCAGGCTCAGTAGTTGTGGTGCATGGGCTTAGTTGCTCCACGGCATGTGGGATCTTCCCGGACCAGGGCTTGAACCCATGTCCCCTGAATTGGCAGGTGGATTCTCAACCACTGCGCCACAAGGGAAGCCCTCATTTTCATTTTTTTTTAACAGTGTCTTTCGAAGAGGAGAAGTTTTTCATTTGGATGAAGTCTAGTTTATTAAATTTTCTATGATTTGTGCCTCTTAGGTCCTATCCAAGAAATCTTTGCCTAACAGAAAGTCACAGATTTTCTCCTAGAAGTCTTACAGTTTTAAAAAGATTTTACATTTAGGTCTGTGATCCATTTTGAGTTAATTTTCATATATGTTACAAGATATGAGTTGAGGTTCTTTTTTTGCATACGGATATCCAGTGATCTTCATCTTGAGAAAGCCAGGGAGGAGGGCCATATGCAAAGCAGATCATTACATGATGGAATGGTGGGCTGTGCAAGGGACCAGAAACCCCAAGAGGAGAGCTGGGAAGGTGGAGATCTGGGGACTGCCTTATCGAGGCAGTGACTCATAGGCTGGGCCTTACAGGTTGACTGCAGAGATGGTGGAGAAAGTGAAGAAGGGTGGTACGAGGAAAGCAAAGGCAGGGCAGGTGAGGACGGATGCAGAGGTGTCAGGAGTCCTGGAGCATAGAGTGTGGGGAGAGGCAGGATTAGAGGTAAGATTGGATGAGCAGGGTGGTTAGAGCAGGCAGTACTATGTCAGGAAGATCGGCCTGCAAACTAAAATGGAAGGTGGACAGAAAGGCGGAAGGGAGCCAAGTGAGGATGTTGGGGGATCGGGGATGAGGCCTGAGCTCCAGGAGTTGCCATAGGGACAGGTACAAGGGGACAGTTGAGAAAAATGTCAGGATGCGGAGTCAGGGCTGCCTCCCAGGCTCAGGCAGACGGGCGGCTAAGAAAAGTCAACAGCAGGTTCTGGGGAAGAAGAGTTCTGTGCGAGGCTTCTGGTACCCATAGAAAATTCAGGTGGAGGTGTCCAAGAGGCAGCTGGGTACACAGGGGGGCTGGAGCTCCGTGGCCAAACCCTCCTGCCACATTCATGAAGCTTCTCAGCCCCACCAGGTGCCAGTTCCTACCCCCCTGTGTCACTGTGGCTCTCAAACAGAGCCTGTGGATTTGCCATGGTGGACACCGTGGCACTGTGACTAGGAAATAGGGGCTTGAAGGGCTGAGTTCTCTGACTCCTGGGTCTGGGGAGAATACCACAGGGAGCACCCTCGTCTGGGGTCAGGAGACCTGCCTTCTAACCAGCCTCCGCCCTGACTGACAGCAGCTCCTGGTGCTACCCTGGACAAATGATCAGGAGCCTCACTGCAGGGGCTCAGGGGCAGGAAGGCAGGTGCTCTGCTGCTTTTGCAAGCAGGAAAATAGGAGTCTGGGTGCCCGTCCGAGGGCCCCCAGGTACGCCCTGTGGCTCCTCATTGTCGTCCCTACCCCTGTGCTTTGAGCTCTTCAGAACTAATGTGCTTCGGAGATACGGGGTCCGCAGCCCATGGAACTGTCAGGAAAGACAGCCCAGCCTAAGCCTGCTCTTTCCATGGAGCTGAGCCACTTCACAGAGCCTGGGCCTTAAATCAAACAGGAAAAGAGACTGGAAACTAGGTCCGGCTCCTGCCTGGACCCCCTGGGGACAAAATTGGCCAGACTCAGGCCCCAGGCCAAGCATCCACCTCAGCTGCAGGTCTCAGCACAGCTACCCCCGCTTCCTGGGAGCCCTCCCCCACCCCCTCTCCGTTGGACACCCGCTCCAACACTGCCTCACAGCCCATCTGCTCCAGGCTTCTGCCGATGATTCTGTAACTTCATCATGGGCTTGTTTCCCTTCAGACACTGCAGATGGTTAACGTCTCTCTGCGGTGTCAAAGTGCCCCATTACACAGGGAAAGAATTACAAAGGGCCCTCCCCACAGAGAGTTGGGTGGGACAGCCGAGCATCTTCCACACCCAGCATGGCCTCCACCCTCTGAAGTAAGGGGGTCTCAGTGCAGTCGGCCTCCTCAGAAGGCAGGGGTGGGGTGAGAACTGCCCTGGCCCGTTTGCAACCCCTGCTGGGTGGCTTTCGGGAAGTCCCCCTCTTGGACCTCTGTTTTCCCATCTGGACAGTAAACATGCCAGAATTAATTCCAGACCTACTCCCACATCTCTTGGTACATCTCCCGTCCTTCCTTCCTTCCTTCCTTCCTTCCTTCCTTCCTTCCTTCCTCCCTTCCTCCCTTCCTCCCTTCCTCCCTTCCTCCCTTCCTCCCTTCCTCCCTTCCTCCCTCCCTTCCTCCCTTCCTTCCTTCCTTCCTTCCTTCCTTCCTTCCTTCCTTCCTTCCTCCCTTCCTCCCTTCCTCCCTTCCTTCCTCCCTCCCTTCCTCCCTTCCTTCCATCCTTTTCTTTTTTTCTTTCTTTCTTTCATTGTTGAGGTAGAGTTGATTTACAATATTAGTTTCAGGTTTACAGCATAGAAATTCAAAATTCTTATAGATTATACAGCATTTAAAGTTACTATAAAATATTAGCGATGTTCCCTGTGCTGTAACTGGTACATTTCTCTTGTTGCTGTACCCTCACTGTCTCTTGCTGCGGTCTCCTCTGCCAGCCTGGGCTCTTCTCAAGGGCAGCAGTGGGGCTGATTCCTCCCTGTGCCCTCCACACCCAACATTAGAGGAAGATTGCTGAATTCATTGCACAGGTTGGCTCCTGAGAAAGTATTGTGTTGGAAGCCAAAAAGGTACATCCCCTGATTTCTAGAACCTTAAAGAAAAGTTAGAAACCAAGACTTTAGGTTGAAGGAGACACCAGCCCTAGACACTAGAGGCCGTGAGATCAGTGGGGGAATAGTGGGGGAGGGTTGTTAAGGAGTGGAGTGGGTAAAGAGCCTTCAGGAAGGGCGCTTGGTTGCAGAGTCCCACATTTGCCCTGACCTCAAAGCAAGTTTCAGAGGAGGCTGGGGTGCCATCATGGTAGAAAAGGGCAGGCCATCAGGAGCCAAGAGCATCTTCATGGCAAGGCAAGTTGTCATGGGAGGATGAGAATCCAGAAAGGAGTGTCCAGAGGGTTGAGTGACCCATTGTGGGCCTGGTAGATAGATGGAAGTGGTACTGATCACAGCCATTTGTTGTGAATTCTTTTAGATGGAAAAAATAATTAAATAAGAAGGCAACATCGGTACAGCAGAAGGAGCACGGGGCTTGAAGTCCTAAATCTCAGAACTTCTGTTAAGTACCTACAGTGGACTAGTCTTTGGCTAATAAGCATGAATACATTTTTCTCTCTCATATAAAGGAACCTGGGCTTGAATCCTGGCAGGACCCTTCACCGGTCTGAATGACCGGTGAATGAATCCTGACACAGTTTCCCTATCTGCACAGTGGGGACGATTGATGATATTGTCTATGTCAAAGGATAGTATGTAAGCAAATGTACGTAAGAGCAGCTAGCATAGCATTCAGTCCAGGCACATTATCTTTCTTTCCTTAGACCAGTGGTTCTCTGTCCTAACTGAACATTTAGAATCAGCTTTTAAAAAATACCAATGCTGAGGCCACATTCCAGGCCAGTTAAAACAATCTCTGGAGGGTGGAACCCAGGCTTTGTTTTATCTTTTCATTTCTTTCTTTTTTTTTTTTTTTTAAACTCCCTAGTGAACCTAATATGCTTTCGACAGTGTGGCAATTATTACCCATCCATTTGTTCATCAAGTATTAATTCGTTTCAACTCCAAGGACCTACAATAAGAAATTGAGAACTGTGACTACCCAGATGTTATGGACCGAATGATTGTGTGCCCCAAAATTATATGTTGAAATCCCAACCTCCAATGTGATGGCGTAAGGAGGTGGGGCCTTTGGAAGATTAGGTCATGAGGGTGGAGCCCTCATGAACAAGATTACTGCCCTTATAAAAGAGATTCCAGGGAGCTCTCTTACCCCTTCTGCCATATTAGGACACAGCGAGAAGACATCCCTCATCAGACATCAGATCTGCCCCTACCTTGATCCTCAACTTCCCAGCTTCCAGAACTGTGAGAAATAAATGTTTGTTACTTAAGCCACCCAGTCTATAGTATTCTGTTATACCAGCCCCAACAAACTAAGATATCAGATATAGTTGGGTAATGGTCATTTCTTACTTACCTCTCTCTGTAGGACTACTTCCCAGCACCCCAGCCTCCTGCCATGTCTGACCCCATCACACTGAATGTCGGGGGGAAGCTCTATACAACCTCACTGGCAACCTTGACCAGCTTCCCTGACTCCATGCTGGGCGCCATGTTCAGCGGGAAGATGCCCACCAAGAGGGACAGCCAGGGCCACTGCTTCATTGACCGTGACGGCAAAGTGTTCCGCTACATCCTTAACTTCCTGCGAACCTCCCACCTGGACTTGCCCGAGGACTTCCAGGAGATGGGCCTGCTCCGCAGGGAGGCTGACTTCTACCAGGTGCAGCCCCTGATTGAGGCCCTGCAGGAGAAGGAGGTGGAGCTGTCCAAGGCCGAGAAGAATGCCATGCTCAACATCACGCTGAACCAGCGTGTGCAGACGGTCCACTTCACTGTGCGTGAGGCACCCCAGATCTACAGCCTGTCCTCTTCCAGCATGGAGGTCTTCAACGCCAACATCTTCAGCACCTCTTGCCTCTTCCTCAAGCTTCTCGGCTCCAAGCTCTTCTACTGCTCCAATGGCAACCTATCCTCCATCACCAGCCATTTGCAAGACCCCAACCACCTGACTCTGGACTGGGTGGCCAATGTGGAGGGCCTGCCTGAGGAGGAGTACACCAAGCAGAACCTCAAGAGGCTCTGGGTGGTGCCAGCCAACAAGCAGATCAACAGCTTCCAGGTCTTCATGGAGGAGGTGCTGAAAATCGCGCTGAGTGACGGCTTCTGCATCGATTCTTCTCACCCACACGCTGTGGATTTTATGAACAATAAGATTATTCGATTAATACGGTACAGGTAAAAGGACCCCAGCAACATTGGAGGGGGGCTTCCTAAAGCCAAGATCTTGGAGAGTGTCTCGCCAGTGGTGTGAGGCAGGCCACTATACTAACCTGTATTAATCGTGTAGCAGGACTTGATTTCCCCCGTGATGCAGTCCACCTGTAGGAATCCATGTGTCCTCTTGACACAGCCACCTTTTTCCTTGCTACTTTGAGCTGGGGATGGGCAGTTTGCTCTAAGTGAAGAGTCTGCCAACATGTCCTAAAGGAGGCCACAGGAGGACTTTTTGGCTAGACAAAGGAACAGCAGTTTTTTCTTGGGTCCAGCTCTCTCTGTACCATTAGGCAGTGCCTCACTTAGCCATCTGTAAACAGAGCCTCTGGTGGAGGGGATGGGGTGAGAATAAGAGGCTCCCTCTAGTTTCCCAGGACATGAAGTACCCAGAGATTCCCATCCTGCCTGCCCCTCCGTCCCTGGGATGTGGCCAGAACCTTGGACTTGCTTGGCTGGCTTGGAAATGAAGTGGGTAGTGAGGGTGGGATTTGAGCCTGGCATGGCCTGGAGGAATTAGCCTCCAGGCAGCGTTCAGAAGATGGGGATATCCCTCTTGACTGGGCCAAATCTAGGCCTTTGGGGATTTCCGGCTTCAGAAATAAGCTGCTGTCCCTGCGAAGATTTGAAAGTATCTGGAGCCAGTGCAACGAAAGGCACTTCATCATGTGGCCTGATACCTGACTTTTGTAATCCTTTCCCCAAGAAGTTGAAGTCTCATTGAAACAGATCATTTAAAAATATATTATGGACTCTCAGGGTTGGAAAATGATTCAGCAGTCGCTCAGTCCTCCCGCACCCCCAGAACACCCCAGCACCTTTGCGGCTGAGGGCTTCTCCCCAGTACCTTCAGGAGATCAACTATCCCTGCTTGCATACCCTCAGTGACAGGAAGCTGGTCATCCCCAAGGCCAGCCCCTGCCATAGTTGGCTGTTAGAAAGTCCTTCCTTACATTGAGCCGAAACCTGTCCTTCCACAACCATTTTCTGGTCCTGGTAGACCTTCCGTCTCACCCAAATGTGTATTTTCTCTTTCAAAATAGTCACTTTGAGAGGCCAGATACCTATTTTGAAAATATTATTACTCGATATTAGGATTCCCCTTGGGATTTGTCTTCAGAACCAAGGTTAGCCCCTTCCATTCCCTGTAAGTCATCCCCATTTTGTCGTGCCTTGGCTTCATTTGTGACCCTCCCTCCTCACCAGACATGACTGTTCATGGCTTTTGACCATCTTCTGTTGAGTTTGAAGATTGCTGCCCCAGAGGAAGGAGACCAGGGTCTTGGCAATGTGTAACAAGGAGCCTGGGAGTGACCTGAACCATAACATTGCCCTTGGAGTAAGTGTCCAGCCCTTAAAACAGTGCTCTGAAGGATGTGGGCTTCCCCTGCAGTAGTTTCTGGGCATAACCAGCCCATGGACCTCCTTGGGGTGAGACCCTGAGCCACCACTTCCCAGGGGGTGATGAGCAGTGCGTGTCTCAAAGCAGCACATCATGATTCATCCCTGGCGTGAGGGTGGCCTTGGGAGTCCCAGAATCTTCCCCACTGGGCAGGGGCCCTCTGACAAAGCCAGAGAAGTCTGGTGCCACAGGTTCCCCCAGGGGATGGTCCGAAGAAGGGGCTTCCCATAGTTACACCCTGTGAATAGGGAGCTTGTACGCTGGGCTGTGGGCAAGGCCACATCCCTTAGGTAATAAAGGACTTTTCCCCCCTACAGTGGGACCCAGGAGTCTCTGATAACTGTCCCATGCCACCAGGCCAATGGTATTCAGGAAAGCCACTCAGGAGAACCCAATTTAGACCAGCCAGCAGAAGCTGTGACCACAGCAGAACAGTTCAAGGAAGAAATATTATAAATCACCACTGTCTCTTTTTCTGTTCCATAAAAATTCTTTCTCCATCTTTTCGGTGCTTCTTAATTCAAGCAGCTTGACTTTAGAGAAAGCACAGGTCCTGTGAAGCCACTAATTTGCTGTGTGACTTTATGCAAGTCACTTACCTCACTGAGCCATCTCTGTTTCTTCATCTGTGAAACGTGCATAACAGTAACACGTAACCCTACCTACCTCACAGGGCTGTTGTGAGGATCAAATGAAATAATTTATGTGAGAATACAGTATAATTGATAAATGGTTGTTATTATTTTGTGTCTACACATAAGGAAAAAACCTTGGCTTTGGAATCAAGCTGACCTGGGTCTGAATTCTGGCTCCATCACTTGCTGCGTAACCTTGGACAAGTCCCTGGGCCTCCCTGATTTGTTTCCTCATCAGATAACAATCCCACCTCCTAGTGTCCTGTGGCTTGGTTGTGTATGTGAAAATTCCTAGCTAGGCCTGGCCCATAGGAGCTCAATAAACGTTTGCTCTTTTAGGAGTGATGACGGACTGTCATGCAGGAGACACCATGAGCATGTAACAATTTAACAAGCCTTCTGGGGCACCTGGTGTATGGTCCCTGAGGATGGGAACAGCCACAGATAGGTTTAGTCTGGAAAGGCTTAGAGGGCCACACAGTGTGCTGTGGGAACTCGGGGAAAGCAAGCTTAGTTCTCAGAAAAGGCATAATGGATGGTCGAGCTGGGCCTTTAAGGGTAGGTTGGATGGTAACAAAATGAGCTAAGGAGGGCACCGTGGGCACTGGAAACGCCATGAGCCGAGGCCCGGGAGCCGTGCAGGTGAGGCGCCATGCAGGTGAGGCTCCACGCAGGGCCTCCGCACAAAGGGAGCCACATGCAGTACATGCAGAGTGCTCACGGTGCCCGCCTCCCTCAGGTGAGTGCAGCCACCTGCTTAGTGCAACAGAGAGATACTGAGCCTGCAGGCGGCACCATCCCAGAGGACCAGTGAGTCAGGGTCGGCTGGGAGGCAGGCATGTGATTCTTGTCATGAGCCCCTAGCTGCCCGGAGCGAAACACAGTGGTGGTCAGTGAACTCAACCGGACTCAGTTTATTTAGCCTTTTGCACAGCTGAGAGCTTTGTCCCAACTAAAGGGCAATTCTGGGCACACGACCTTGTCAGCTGTCTGTTCCTCCCCGAGGCATGCAGAGGGATGGTCAGGGAGGGTGCTCTTGAGGGAACCCTAAGGCACTTTGGCGTGACCACTTGGTGAGACCTGCCACCAAACAGGGCCCCTGCATGCTGGAAGGCCAGCAGTAGCTGTCACCTCAGGCACCTCCTACAGCTCTTTGCCCTTTTATGAAGGGCAAGCCTTCTGATGCTAGGTTCTGTCTTTGGGCCAGAGCTCCCTGTGCAGAGGTGGCCATGGCACCCCCCTTGCCACCACCTCAGTGCCCTACACAGCCCCCCAGGCTAGGGTGTGGTCACTCTGCTTTGTAAACTTCTATGTGGCCTAAAACATAGCGCTTTTGTAACTGCACCTTTGTTCACCCCAAACTTCCAGGTTTCTTTTACAAATTACTCCTAAGACAGGCTACTGTAAGTGGAGGCATAGCCAAGATCAGCCTAGGTCCATTTCACTTGTGTCCAGAGCACCAGCCCATCCCTTTCCTGAACTGTGGTCTGTTCACACTGACCACCTGAGTCTGCCTGTATCCCAGGGGCCTCAGGGCTGGTTGGGCAGTTGGCAGGGAAATGAGACCCCGTGATTATCTTGCAGAGCAAAACAACCTTGATAACTGGCCCATCAAAGGGAGGGGCCCAGGCTTCTTTCCAGGTCCTGTGGGGTCCTGGCTCTGGCAGCTCCATCTATCCAGACAGCCCTGTGACCTCAGTCTCCTTCAGAACCTTCAGGACAGTGTGGCACCAAACAGAGAGCTGTGGAGACAGTCTGGTGACATGCTCACCCCAGTCTGGGGTACAGGGACCAAGGGGGGCCCTGAAGAGAAAAGTTGGCCTATGGAAACCAGAGGATCACTGAGCAACCCATGGTACCCAGAACCCCACCCGACACAAAGGACAACAAAATAAGCTCTGTGGTGCCACGGCTTAGCTCTGACTTCTGGGCAGGGAGTACATGCCCAGTCAGGTGTGACTGACCTCACTGCCCCCTCTCCTGGACCTATTTTCCACCAGCTTCCCTGGCCCTCCCACCCCAATATATGTATTGGGGAGTATTTCAAAGCCTTTATCAACATTTCCCAGTTAACGGACGGCCCTAGAGTGTTCCACCCCATTCTTATGTCAGTCCCTCCCAAAAGCCTAGGTTCCCTTTTACTGAGGTGCTGGGTAAAGGCTCAGCTGAGTCACAAATCCTCTAGATCCTGCTGCATTGTGACATGGGTTCTCCCTTCCCAACCCCAATTAGTTCACTTTATAAATCCAGTACTGAATTTGCTTAAAAAACACCCTTTTGTTTGGCATCTCATAGGTTGCCAAGCTCCTTCCTGTCCATAGTTTCATTTCACAGAACCAAAGAATGACCATGCCATGCCATTCCACACCTCGCCTGCCCTTTACTACTTTGTCTACATAGCAAACATCTGCTCATCCTTCAACACTCTGCATAAGCCTTCCCTCCTTGGCTCACCAAGTAGAGTTACTCCCAGCCCGCTTTGTACCACCCTATATCTGGTGTGGACTTTTATCAGCATACTGCAGCTGTTCACAGGCAGTGTTGTGCTGGTAAATATTTAACAACAACTAGCTCTCATGGAAACGCACTGATCTGTAGCATCAGCCAATTTCCATGGTGTAAATACTCTCACAGTAGTCAATTTCAAGTCACCAACATGAAGTCACTGATCATCGGGGAAGAGAGGCACACAATGGGCTCTGGAGAGCCAGAGGGAGCGTGCTCCAGCACACCTCCGTGTCCCCCACTGAACCGCATGCTTCTGAGGGCCAGGGCTCTGGCTGGCTCTTTGTATCACCAGTGCTCAGCACACAGAAAGTGCTCAATCTATGTTTGAGGGACTCTGCCACCTGTGGAATAAGACATTTTTACCTCCTTGATGTCCTCTCTTGTTCAAACTCCACCTTGCTCAAAAGTCTTGCTCAAACTTTTTCCTATAACACAAGAAAAAGTCCAAAGTTCCTTGGCTCTTTATATACAGGCTTCAACCTACTTAAGAGCACAGATTCTGGAGTTAGACTGCCTGGAATCATATCCTGGCTTTGCCACTTAACGGCTATGTGACCTCTGGCCAGTTACTTAACCTCTCTCTTTCCTTGTCTGTAAAGCTGTGGTAATAGTACCTACAACCCATAGGGCTGTTGTAAGGGTTTGATGAGGAATACATCTTCAGCTTTTTGAATAGGGCCAGGAGTATAGTAAGTGCTCTACTTACTACATGAATTACTACCATTACTATAATTATTACTATCATCATCATTATTTTCTGTCCTCATCTTTCACTGCTGTCTTGCTTGCTCATGCCCTTGCTCATGCCCTCAGTGTCCCCTGCATAATCCACATGGATTTTTACCTCCTGACCTTTGCCCAAGGCACTCCTAATGCTTAAAGCATCCCACCTCTCCTCTCCAGTGACCCAAACCTGTCCATCCACAGTGCATACCCTTCTCACCCTCCACCACCCTCTCACTGAGCCCTTCCTCCTCTGGTCTTTCAGTGCCCTTCTGGTTGGCATCTCCAGGGATCTGAGAATCAGATCTCAAATCACATGGTCTGTTTATTCACATACTCTTTTGAACGCCTAACGTATACCAACCCCAGGGCTGGGCTCTGAGAAAGCAAAGGTGAACCCTGCACATTCCTCCCTCAGGCTGTGCAGTGGGGGAGAGAGACAGGTAAACAAATTCCAATAGGATGGGCAGTGCTAAGGTGGAAGTCTGTTACACGTGGAGTGGACCACAGAGATAGGATAGCCTCAATGTTGACACCACTTTACAGTTTAACAAAGCACTTTGCTTTCTTTTACTCATTTAATCCTCCCAAAAAGGCTCTGAGAGAAGCAACACAGGAGGGGCTTTTTTTTAATAGATGAGGATGAAACGACTTGCATGTGAACACACTGTGTGTAAGTACAGTGCCTGAACATAGTAGGCCCTTGGATAATTATGAAATTGAATTATATGTCATTTAATTCAAATTAAGTGGCCAAGTCAAGGTGAGAAACCAGTCTGAATCCTCCTTCAGGATTATTTCCCCTCAGTTGTGAGGCCAAGGACAGAACCAGGTCTCCAAGTGCCAGGACTCTGATCCAGGCTTTTCCACAATGTTCCAGGTGACCTCGGGTAAATCACTTCACTGAGCTGGGCCAGAGAGCATCCTCGGTCGAAGGCAAAAAGGTAGAGCTCATCTCTACCAGCTAGAAGTCTCTTCTAGCCAGAGTTGGCTGGAAGCATGATCCTGCTAACTCTGGAGCTATGTGAGCAGAGGCCAAAAAAATCCCTTGATGGGGCTGTCATGGGCTTCTAGCACTGGACCGGCCCCACTTGTCTTCTCCCAGCCTTTTGTGCTGTGAACACAATACTTGGTGACGGAGCAGTCCTGGGATTTTTGTATTTTCCGGTGTGAAATGCTGGACGTTACTAAGTGCCTCTGGAGCTAAAACAACCAGGCAAAGTGGAGTCACTCAGATGTCATGTCGTACTACTAATATTCCCTTGAGTGAAGTCCGAAAGCTTTTGTGAGGATGAGGCTTATTCCACTGAAACATGGTGCTCCCCACCTCCTTAGAAGGCGAGGCAGATTAGACAAATCTCAGCATCCCCACATCATCATTCCTGAGCAAAGAAAGGGGCTTCCTTACTTGGCAGCTAAGAAAAAGGGCTGTCAGAACGTGACATTCACTGGCTATTTTTGGCATAGAATCTGAGAATGTTGTCCTAGAAGGAAACTTGTAACTGACCATCAAAGGCGAAGAGGAAAGAGAACTGGCTTTCAGTCAGGCAGACCAGTCCAAATCCTGGCTCTGCCGTGTGACTTTGGCAAGCACCACCATCTCTCTCTGTCTCAATGACTTCATCTAGGAAGTGGGGATAAAAATACCTGCATTCCCTACATTGTAGAGTGATTATAAGGATGAAGTGAGAAGTACATGGAGAGCGCCTGGCTCCCTCCTCTTGGCCCTGTACTTCGTGCTCTCCACACTGGATGGGGAGATCTCTCCTAAAGCAGGGACCACCTCTCACACCTCTATATCCCTGGCCTGCAGCACACTGCTTCCAAGGGGAGCTCCTCAGTTCACATTTGTTGAATAAATGACTGAACTCCACCTCTTTACCCTTACCCATGAGGAAACAGGTCCAGAGTGGTGGAGGGACTTGTCCGAGTTACACAGCCAGGGAGGACCCCAGGACCCTTGACTCTCAGCCCTCTCTCTCCCATACACTACGCCTTGTGCATGCCACATTTGGCAAAGCCCTCTTTGCACATTGGAGCCTTTCTTCTTCTTCTTCTTCTTCTTCTTCTTCTTCTTTTTTTTTGGAGCCTTTCTTCTTTCAACCTCTTGGTTGGCGAGCAGCAGACTTGGAACAAGAACCCAGGTCTGTCAGGTTCCAAAGC